AAAAAACAAAAGAAGAAAGCATAAAACAAAAATGTATTAAAATTACATTAAAAGCATAAAATATGACAGTAAAACAAAAGAAAGCAGAAATGTGTTAAGCAATTATGGGAAGGCAGGAGTAAACAACTGTGTTTTCAGGCCTGATTTAGATGAACTGACTGTTTGAGCAGACCTCAGGTGTTCTGGAAGTTTGTTCCACAGGTGAGGAGCATAGTAACTGCATGCTGCTTCACTATGCTTGGTTCTGGTTCTGGGAACAGAGAGTAGTCCTGTCCCAGATGACCTGAGGGGCCTGGATGTTTCGTAGGGTACTAATAAGTTTTGAATAGATTTGGCTCCAATACCATTTAGTGCTTTATAGACTAGCAATAACATTTTGAAATCTATCCTTTGACTCACAGGAAGCCAGTGTAGTGATCTGAGGACTGGTGTGATATGGTCCAGTTTCCTGGTGTTTGTAAGGACCCTGGCAGCAGCGTTCTGGATCAGCTGCAGCTGTCCGATTTGATTTTTTACTGAGACCTGTGAACAACCCATTACAATAATCTAACCTACTGAAGATAAATGCATGAACTAGTTTTTCTGCATCTTGCTTAGACAGAAACCCCTTTATTCTAGCAATGTTTTTCAGGTGGTAATAGGCAGATTTAGTGATGGATTTTATGTGGTTGTTAAAGTTCAAGTCGGAGTCAATAATTACACCAAGGTTTCTGGCTTGACTTGTGGCTTTCAATGACAGTCTAGTTGAGCACTGACTTTAGACATTTCATTTTTTGGGGCCCAAAACAACCACTTCTGTCTTGTCTGCATTAAGCTGGAGGGGGCCAAGGCGACATCGCAAACTATTCAGTTACAATGACAGTTCTGTAAATTATTTAACGTAAGATAAACATTTTCGATAAACCCTATTATAGTGATAGTGTCACTGATTGTATTCAACGGTATACTGAGCTGTTCTTTTCAAATCACATACCTTATTCTTCCAGCGCAGCAGTAACCATTTGACGAAGTCGTACATAAAGGTCAGTAATTTCAAACACGTCATCAGACATTTCCAGGTTGTGCTCATCCATAAGTTCTATACATAAACGAAACACATCCTCATCGCAAGGATAGTCCTTAAAATGACAATCTTCTCTACATATTTCCATTTTAAGTTCATCAGCTGGCTGCAAGAAATCTTGACCCCCATAAAGGTTGGGAACGGCATACATGATGGAAGGATGCCCATAAGGATCCCGAGGATTGTCGATTGCTCTTATGCGATGATTGTTCCAGGCAGTTACGACTTCATCAAGCTCCTCCTGCACAAAGTGATGAGAGATGTATTCAGAACATTTAAAATAACCGCACACTGAAAATAGGCCCATCAAAGTAAAAAGTTATTAGACGAATGTAAGGTTTTGTTACCTTGACATGTTTTCAATATATCTGCAGTCTTCCCCAGAACAGATGCGTCAGTATCAGCTGTTCTGGGCGTGGATAGACCTGACAGGTCTGTTCGGCTGACCACGCCAACAACAAACATAACAGTTGAAACATGTCAAGGTAACAAAACCTTAAATTTGTCTGATAAAAAGAAAGTAGATTGTTACTTGTGAATAATGGAATACTACTACTACAACTACAACAACTACTACTACTAATAATAACCACACTTAGAGCTAGGTTTTAAATGCTGTGGAAACTGAGGTTAGTCAGTGGAGTACATGTCCCTCTGGCATAGGACACAGCGTTGCACAACACTGAAGTATGTGAATACACTTATTGTTGACAGAAATGAATCCAAATGCGGCTATACCGTTATTGTTATCTGTATTACAAGCTCATGGGGAGGGGATACTGTACCTGTATGGTGTTTTGAAAACAAAACTGGATCAGTGATTTATCAATGAAGCAGTCCTCAAAATAGCCGTCTGCTTTTAGCTGGTCGAAATGGTCCATCCAAAACTGGACACATTGACTTCTCAATGTGCACCACCAGCGTTCAATCCTTTGATTGCCAGTACTTGGTCCTATAATGACACACTCAGAACCATTCTCGTCCTCACTGTCGTGCAGAAACCGCTGCATCTGCGCAAGGTGTGTATTTTCAGTTCCACGATCCAACCGGACCTTTTGAGGACATCCATTTATTTCACTCACAGCATCCATAAAGTATCCCGCGATAACACGAGGGTCACTGTTGGTTTTGTATGCTTCCAGCCATATCATTTTTCTTGAGAAACCGTCTATGCAGCCACTGATGCATATCCCATACGGCTTTAATTTGCCATACCCATCTATGTGCCATACGTAGTTTGGGCCACGACTGACATACTGTATATACGCTGTCTCAATCGGTTCCGGGCACGCAGACCCACCCCATTACCATCCATCAGTCGTATCAATTGACGCACCGTTTCTCTGTCTGTTATTATTCCCGCCATCCAACATTTTTGATGCATCCATCTGTAGCCATGTTGTTTAGTCGATGTTTGTAGCTGTTGGTGAATGAAGAATGCAACTTCAGCTTCATCTGTCTTATTTCGTCTCCTCCATAGCTGGTTCTTTTGTAGTTTTCTTTCCAGGGTCCGGAGGCTTAGTTTTATATTATGCGATTCTTGTAAAACCACTAAAATCTCCTTATTTGTGAACCCACGCCTGAAATAATCTTCAATTATTGCATCCATCTGAACTGTGTGGTGAAAGGTCCTGTAGCGTTAGCTCTCAGTCTCCGCGACAAAACAGGAAGAAGAATAACTACTTCAGGTTGACAGGTTTACGTCGATACTTTGAGCTATGTAGGAATTTCGACATAGATAAGTCGGTATTTCGATTTAGCTATCTAGTTATTTCTACTTAGCTAAGTCGAGATTCGATTTAGCTATCTAGTTATTTCTACTTAGCTAAGTCGAGATTCGATTTAGCTATCTAGTTATTTCTACTTAGCTAAGTCGAGATTCGATTTAGCTATCTAGTTATTTCTACTTAGCTAAGTCGAGATTCGATTTAGCTATCTAGTTATTTCTACTTAGCTAAGTCAAAATTTCGACTTAGGGAAGACTAAGTAGGAATTCCGACATATCTAAGTCGGAATTCCTACTTAGATATGTTGGAATTTCTACTTAGCTAAGTAGAAATAACGACTTAGAGCGTTTTATTGCTCATTTCCTACTTAGATATGTCGGAATTTCTACTTAGCTAAGTAGAAATAACGACTTAGAGCGTTTTATTTCTCATTTAACTGGCGGGAATGGGCTTCCATACTTTCTACTTCAGTGGTAAAACAAACCGTTTTTCTTAAAGAAAGTTCTGGGACTTACCGAACACTTAAAGCTCCAGTTTCCTGCAAGCACAAAACGGATTGTGACTCTCTACGAGGTAATTAGCACAGACACAATGGAGCTAGCCTTAGCATTAGCTTAGCTTAGTTTTCTCTGTTTCGTCTTTTTGAGAACACAGTTCAACTCACTCACTCGCAGCACGAGTTGTTCACAAACTCTTCCGTGATTGACTGGAGCAGGGAACAGTTGTCCAGGCTTGCTGAATACAGATTATAAGCGCATTTTCTCTGTCTTGAATCTTTAGTTGACACACACCTTATACGGCCATTGCCGTGACTTGTCCAATTCTCCTTCGCCCGCTCAGCGCGTCCTCTCCCTTCTTCTTCTCCTTTTTTTCGGTTGTCTTCTTTTGTGGTACACTCAAAACATTGCAAAATAATAGAACATGAGATACG